ATATTGAAGTTTTCAATCTTGTTTTGAAACATGAGACCTCTTATGTAAGGATTTGGAATCATATTTTAAATAAATAATTATATATATATATAAACAATAATGTTCTCCCTGTACAAGGCACGAAAAGTACAATATGTAGTGCATCGTAAAAAAGGTATATTTTCATGGGATATGTGGAGAAGATAACGGGTTACTCTAGACACGAAATGCTTAAGATTGTTGTGATTGTTGAAATATCCTCTTGAAAGATGGTTCCACAAATCAGCGGTTCATATGAGAGAAAGACAGAGAGAGAGAGAGAAGTATTGTTGTATGTTATGCACATATGAACAGAGCGAAAATTTCAATATATATGCACACACACACCTACAGAGTTACGTCAATAAAACCAAAGTCTCTCATATGTATATAATTGTGTTACAAAAACAGACGACAAGTGTATATATGAAAAAGCAACGATTTTAATGCAAGTGTTGGTTGTAATTAAAATGCTCTGTAGGAAGCGATAAATTATTAATAATAGCAAATCAAATCAAATGTACAATTTATTGTTCCAACACTGAATTTTGCAGAGATTACATCTATTCGGCAACGAGGCATTATAGGAAAATGTTGATGATATCGTCTCCTGGTGCAGGGTCAAAAGCGAACATTTTATTTATATATATATATATAAATATAAAATTATATATATATATATATATAAGTTTAGGTCGTTGTTACGATCAATCCTTAAAAGATACCAATCAAGTAAAAGAAACATACAGGTCATTACAAGAAGATCTCCATAAGATAGATCTTTGTCCTCTAAAAGGAAAAATACAAGGTATGGTGCTTAGAGCATGTGCTCATTCCAAAGCTACTATGGCCCATAGTCATTGTACGAATTTGGAATGAGTACAATTGAATCAATGGAAAGGAAAATAAACAAATATATCCGAAAATGGTTGGGTTTGCCTCAGGTTTGTCTGATATCGCATTGTACTGCAGACAAGCAAAGCTAAAGTTGCCATTTTAAATCGATTGTGGAAGGTATAAATCCGGAAAATTAGACTTCAAATGATGTTGGATGATTCAAGGATAAAGCAATAAAAGCTTTAAAGCCTACGTTAAAAAAACAGGGAGAAAGTGGAAGGTCAGAGAGACGATAACAAGTGCTAAAAGACAATCTAGCTTTCAAGTAAGTCATCGGATACACTCAAGAAGGGAAACAAGGTTAGGACTAAATGAGGCAATGGTGGTCGAAATCTTCTAGTAAAGATCGCCGTGACATGGTCATCAAAATGTGATGAAAGAAGAAGATAAAAAAAGACTCGTAAAAGGAGTAACAATCCCAACAAGGCCAATGGACAAACTGGGGAGAGGCTCTTCAGAAATCTATTACGTGGAAGGAAATTTGGCAGATGGCTCCACTTAGGTTGAGTTATTTAATACGTTCCACGTATGACCTGCTACCATCAAAGAACAATCTTGTTAAATGGAAGAAAGAGATCCACTTGTCCCTGTGTGAGGGAAAGCCACAAACATTAGAACATGTTCTTAGTTCCTGTAAAACAGCCCTTGTCAATGGCAGATATACATGGAAGCACAATAATGTTTTAGATGACCTGGTCAGAATCATAAAAAGAAATATATAAGTCTGAGTCATCTAATTCAGCCCAAGAATTTGTTGCAGAAGGAAAAAAGATATGTCGGCTCTAAGCAAACAAGCAAATATCATGCTATACCGGAAAAAACCTCCTTAGTTCTGGTGGCATCTGGGAGGTATCTGCAGACCTTCCCTGGTTGGCGTAATGATTACTAAAATAATATCAAAGTAAGGTCTGCGACCAGATATTGTTCTTCTGTCAAAAAAGTGAACCATAAAATCATCCTGTTGAGTTAACAGTACCATATGAATGCCGGATGGAACAAAGCCACGATTATAAAACTAATAAATATGAAGATCTAAAGTCAGAGCTAATAAAGGAGGGGTATAATGCAAATTGTTAGAGCAGTGAAATTGGAGCAAGGGGTTTCGTTTCAGGCACTCTGTACAAATTTCTGGGCAAATTGAATCAAAAGGGCGTAATAGGGGCCAAAGGTATAAAACGCCTAATAGAGTAACAGAAAATAATTCTATGTGGATATGGAAAAAAAATGCTCCGTGGAGATTTCAGCGAACATGACGGCATGACATTTAAAATTCGAGAGGAACACATCAAAATTCAGTGAAGTCATATGCCGTAGAGAAGCACGGTGGAAGTGTCATTGGCATGAGGAGCATTATAGATTCAGCTCGCTTCAGGTGAGTTTCAATTACTTTCCAGTAATTTCCTTCTTTAAACACACACACACACACACGGTGTGTGATGGACAAATTGTCGTCTAAATCACCCACAAATGAAAATAATACTGAAATTTAATTTTAACAGATGTATTTACCAAAATTGTACACACTATTTTGAAATACTAGAGAGTAAATTTATTCAATATAATTGCCATTAACTTCAACCACGGTCTCCGGACGACTTCGTAATCTCCGGAGATCTTCTGTAAGGTGTGATGTGTTCGCAGAAATTGTTTGACAACCATGACTGGGTTCTCCTGCTTGTGTGTCATGATGTAGAGTTCTGTTGCCAGACAAACGGTCTTCCAGCAGCCACTCTGTTGAACCAAGAGAGCTAATACCTCATCAAGGGACTTGATTTCGACTCTGTGTAAAGATGAATGGTTGCCCTCAGTAGTGATCACAAACATCTTATTAACCTCTTTCCGAATGCTCTGCAATATTCTCAGATTGACACCCAGGCGCCCTGAAATGCTCTTATTGGAGGTTCCGGCGAGGATGCCAAGCAGTCCAGTATGCCGTTTCCAAATATTCCCATGAATACAATTGTGAATATTTGTATTTGTTGGTCTGCAGTTGTAAATTCAGTGTGGAATTCACTTGACTTACCTGTAGCAGTTGACTACTTCTATGTGCTGCTGGCGAATCTTATATGTGTTGTTCTTGTCCTAAGTATTATCGTTCATTACCAACCTTCGTGTGATTATTCTATTCAGTAACCTTCCCTAGGTTACAATATTTTAGCGACGAAGGATTAGCCAAAATTACAACACACACACACGCACATTACATAAGAAATTATGTTAATGTATTCATGGGAAGTTTTTTTTTTATTGTTTAGCAAAATTTCTTCCCTCGCTCAATATGCGTCCAATACTATACTGAGAAAAAGAAAAGGATTCATACCTTTCACAATGGTGCACGTAAGTGAATGTAATGGATTCATCTGGAATTCGAACTCGGCTCTCCGATTCCTCAATCCGAACGGCTACATGTCTTAATTCATCCATTGCTTGAGAAAGAAGGCGTGGAATCATAACTTTTCCTCGAGTATTTGCGCAAATGAATGAATGTAACGAACATCACTGTAATTAAAACACGGCTGTCGTATTTCGAATTCTGAGCTGTTATAAATTAGACGTGCCGCACGTCCAAGTTTAAAGCATCCTGTATTCCCAAGTAGTCACCCATTTAGGTACTGACTTGGTTCGATGTTGCTTAACAGCGTTATGCTACCAGGAAAATGAAGGCACAATATTAACTTCAGAGTGAATCAGAAGTGTCATGGAGGATATTATGCCCAATCCACACGACCTTTTAAGAAAAAGGATAAACACGAGATCTAGAATGCTGTCTTTATTTCAAAAAGATACATTTCTTTATACAGGGCTACAAATGGATGAAAATCCACGTGTAGCATTATGATTTCAACACTCAAAACGGATTTTGTAAGACTTTTAAAAAATTAATAATGTGCTTCTGCAAGTGTCAACGGTTTAGCTTAATTGTATGCTCTGCAAACAGGGACACTTTCCTAAGTCTGGAATTACTATAAACATTACTGACAAGAAAGCTGTTACATACATCATGTAAATGCATTGCTAATGTGATTACTTTCGTAGTGCATTGCAAAAAATTGTAAACTAAAGAAATATTTTCTGAGTGATTTCACCTGTGGAGTACTTTAGACATCAAGAGGAAAATTATTGTTAGTAACCAGAATTTAAGGCAAGAATACCTGAAAAAACGACAATATGGCATGTCTAATCTAATTACATTGCTAATAAATTTAGACAGAAAATAAATAAATAAATAAAAAAAAAACATTAACTTGAAAACAGGGATGGAAAAATGGTCAGAATTGGAAGCGTACAATACTAATCGGATCATCACAACATACGTATTTATTCTTATATGAAGAAATTCAAAAACGTTAAAGAAATCCGATTGAGAAATATAGACTTCATTTCATATAATTTGTCATCGAAATTATCCTCGATTTAAAATAAAGACAAAAACAAGACACGAAAAGTCAGACTAAGAAAAGAAGACTGAAAAAATAGATATTAAAATCAGGAAAAAAGGAAAAAAAAAGAAGGTAGAAGGAAAAAAGAAAGAAAGAAGGTAGAAGGAAAAAAGTAAGAAAGAAGGTAGAAGGAAAAAAGTAAGAAAGGAGAAGGAAAAAACGAAAGAAAGGAGAAAAAAAAGAAAGAAAGGTAGAAGGAAAAAAGAAAGAAAGAAGGTAGAAGGAAAAAAAGAAAGAAAGAGAAATGTAGAAGGAAAAATAGAAAAAAAGAAAATTGTAGAAGGAAAAAAGAAAGAAAATGGTAGAAGGAAAAAAGAAAAAGGTAGCAGGAAAAAAGAAAGAAAGAAGGTAGGAGGAAAAAAAGAAAAGAAGGTCGAAGGAAAAAAGAAAAAAAGCAGGTAGAAGGAAAAAAGAAAAAAAGCAGGTAGAAGGAAAAAGAAAAAAAGCAGGTAGAAGGGGAAAAAGAAAAAGCATGTAGAAGGAAAAAAGAAGGAAAGGTAGAAGGAAAAAAAGAAAGAAAGGAGAAGGAAAAAAGAAAGAAGGTAGAAAGAAAAAAAAGAAAGAAGGTAGAAGAGAAAAAAGAAAGAAAGTAGGTAGAAGGGAAAAAAGAAAAAGTAGTTAGAAGGAAAAAAACAAAGAAAGAAGCTAGAAGGAAAATGAAGGAAAGGTAGAAGAAAGAAAGAAAGAAAGGAGAAGGAAAAAAGAAAGAATGAAGGTAGAGGAAAAAAGACAGAAGGTAGAAGGAAAAAAGAAAGAAAGAAGGCAGATGGAACAAAGAAAGAAAGAAGGTAGATGGAAAAAAAGAAGGTAGAAGGAAAAAAAGAACGTGGAAGGAAAAAAGAAAGAAAGGTAGAAGGAAAAAAGAAAGAAAGAAAGTAGAAGGAAAAATAGAAAGAAAGAAGGTAGAAGGAAAAAAGAAAGAAAGAAGGTAGAAAGAAATAAAGAAAGAAAGTAGAAGGAAAAAAAGAAAGAAAGAATGTAGAAGGAAAAAAGAAAGAAAGAAAGAAAGAAGGGAGAAAGAAAAAAGAAAGAAAGAAGGTAGAAAGAAAAAAGAAAAAGAATGTAGAAGGAAAAAAGAAAGAAAGAAAGAAGGGAGAAAGAAAAAAGAAAGAAAGAAGGTAGAAAGAAAAAAGAAAGAAAGAATGTAGAAGGAAAAAAGAAAGGAAGAAAGAAAGAAAGAAGGGAGAAAGAAAAAAGAAAGAAAGAAAGAAGGTAGAAGGAAAAAAGAAAGAAAGAAGGCAGAAGGAAAAAGTAAGAAAAGAAAATGCAACAAAACTAAAAAAAAAAGAATGAATGGATAAGTATGAGTATAATAAAAACTGAGACTTGATAATGTTTTCGGGTATACTCTCTTGGATATGGATCAAAATGCATTCATGGTACGCTTAAAAAAAATGAAAAAAGAAACCTGAGACAAGTGAGTAAAGAAAAGATAGATTAAAAAGGGCCATTTGTAACCTATAAAATCAAAGCAAGGTTGTCAGCAAAAGAGATAGCACACTAGCGTTGCTAAATACTGAGGTCTTCAAAATCAAGACAATAAAGAAATTTCACTATTTAGGTAGGTTCCTGATAGGCAGAAAAATAATGTCACTGCATAGGGAATGATGTATTACGGAAATTAAGTTAAGTATTAAGAGAAAAAATACTTGACTGCTACGTAATATATAATCGAAATTTCTATGTAACATAATAATAAAAGCGGGTCGAGATAATTTAAAGTGAATATAATAACTGCAATAAAACAAAAAAAAAAAAATTGGTGGCGTTGCGGATACAGAATATCCGATTCAATAACTGTGCGAATGTAGGGATAAATCAGTGTGCTCACTTACACAGAAAGTGAAATGAGCACGAGATTTTAAGTGGTAAGGGTAAAAAAATACGAGGAAGTGAATAGCCATAATCACCCACCTTTTGATTGTTACATTTTAAAGGAGATGATTTGATCATTAACATTGGCACAATGCATAGTATCAGCGGAGGAGAGCCAATAAAGGTGTTGATACGCGAGGTACGATTGCATCAAGATAAACAGAATAGTAAAACACTGGGAAAATGATATATATGAATTATATAAATAAATGGATTTGAGTGGTAAGAAGATAATCGATTCAGAGAAGGAAGCCGAGTCAGAGACTGACTGAGAAACATGAACATTAAAAGATAAAATATAGAATTTATATATATATATATATATATATAGGTAACTATACTAATCTCGAAAACCTTCAAATTTTGATTTGCCAATAATCAAATCAATCTCGAGGAAAAAAAAGTTTTGAAAAAAAGAGCCAAAAATATGAAAGTCTGTCGAAAAAATCGCACAGATACAGGTTCAAAGCCAAAGAAAATACCCGACACGAGAAAAAAAAACTAACTAAAAAAAGAGCTCAATACAACCGTAAGTAGACTATATATATATATATATATATATATATATATATATATATATATATATATATATATATATATATATATTTAATGAAAAACAGACCACTTTAAGGTACCATTAAAATAATTTATTTCACCAAAATACTTTTAAAGGATTCGGATCATCAGGTAACATTTTTTAACAATGAAATGAGAGGAAAATGTGATTAAATTGATGGGTAGTGTAATTTTTGTAATTAAACAGAAAGGGGTGAAGGTGGCGTTTAAAAGAGACAATACAATGTATAGGAGGGTTAAATTTACATCTCTCTTAAATAAGCTTTATATTTGGGTTTACCAAGTTCTTCATAACTTAAATATATATATATATATATATATATATATATATATATATATATAGGAAATGAGAAATGAGTAATTAAATTATTGGCCAACAACACATACGCATTAGCAGTTTTATAAGAAGGAGTGTCGAAATCAGTATTTGAACAAGCAGGGCTGATATGTTTTGGCCACCTCGATGTGGTGAAATGGTGAGCAAGCATGTCAGGTTAAATAATGACGACTAAGTAGTAAATTATGTCCTCACTCGGTGCCTCATACTTCCGGTCTTGGGCTACATCTAAGCTACCCTTAGGAAATCGTCTTAAATATAAAATTTAATTTAGTAATTTTTTGTTAAGGAAAACATCTTAAGAAGCACAAATTTTTTGAATTCCGGGGAAAACCGACTATGTGCATTTGAAGGGCGTTGATCAGACATTTTTGACGACATTCTCTCGTGTGTGTGTGTGTGTGTGTGTGTGTGTGTACCTGGTGTAACAGCAAAGTCATATAACATTATGCCATAACTGTCCATTCTAAATATGTTTAATATCTAAAAACCACTAAACAAATTGAGTTTCTTTTTTTTCCCGTCTTTTTAGATTAGACGTTTACCATCTTGACACCATTTGTCGTAAGAATCACTGAAAAACGATTTGAGTTATTCAGCTAGAAAGAGAACAGGTTAAAATCTTTTCGTGTCAGCCCCACTATGTCTTCCCAACTGAGCAATGGTGAAGCGAAAAAGATCATTCAGGCCTTCAGTAATGGTACCAACATTCATACTCTAGCTTCCATATTCAAAGAACCATCAAGAAAACGATAAGTTGAAAAAAAAAAAAAACGCGAACAGTAGAGAGGAAAAAATGAATCCGGAGGTCACAAGAGGAAGAGAGTTGAACATTTCAACTTAGAGCTACATACATTCTTATTGTTCAAAGTAGAGTCCAGTAATGCTATAAAACTTAGGAAAATTCCAGTAAGATATCTTTAGTCATTTCTAAGATACAACGGTTCAAAGCTTAATCTAACAATTGGACAATTTTGTTGTTACACAATATACATATATATATATATATATATATATATATATATATATATGTGTGTGTGTGTGTGCTACGAATGTAATAGAAGAGATATGAAACGTCATGGCAACTTGACTATTTCTAAAATAGTCAAGTTGCCATGACGTAACATCTTTTTTAAAAAGCAGCGCATCAATACAGCTTTAACATATTTTAGGAAAACCCTATTAATGAATGTTAGCGAACATTTTTTCTCAGTGTTCGTGTGTTAGTGTGAGAGTAAAAGTACGAAAAAATCGGAAACCAGATGAGATAATATTCCGAAAGCCAGTTGAAGCTGTCTGTCTCCGCTTCACACGAATGCCTTTTGGTGAAACCATCAAAGACAGGCACCAGGTTTTCTTGTACTTTCATTCATTAACTATTTGGACTCCAATAATTAGTGAGAGACTATTAATAGCAACAAAGAAAAAGATCTACATAGCTTTCGGACTCTGTGATTTCCAGATAGGCCATCAGTTCGTCAGTCGCTGTCATAGTAAAACTGAATTTATTTTCTGAAATCAGATATTTTCTAAAAGACCGTAGCTTTTTTTTAAATCATTTCACCCAAACAAGGCATGGGGGGCAAACACACATTATGTTAGCGAGTGTGAAAGAATATGAGACAAACATTATATAGGATGGTTTACTGAATGAGGAATTACCAAAACGGAGGTTGGAAATGAAATGGTAAACTTTATAACATCAACAACATGCAATAAAGGCTGAATCGCATCAAAAATACCATAAACTTTCAACTTGGTAGAAGATCAATATACCAAACCCTGTCAAATTCCTTTGAGATATACGAAAGCCGAAGTTCAACAATTCTCATCTAAAGCTTGATAGACTGTCAGCAACATCCATAAACATAACAAATAACATCTACATTGATTTTTAACCACAACTTTAAAAAAGAATTTTTCTTCTGGAAAAAATTGATTGCATGACGTAGTAATTGTTTAGTTACTTGTAATAGATATTTTTTCTATAATCCATTTTGTCCGCTATGGATTGAAAAGTTTATAAAAAATATTTAAGCACATGGATTTTAATAATATAATGAAGGGTTCTATGGATGTATACTTTACTAAATGTAAATTTCATTAGGTATTTGACTTATCTAAATATATTTGATAAGGATTTCACTTATAAGTATATTATCATAATATTAAAAATCGTGATTAGTCTGATGTAAACATATTTGCAGTTTATATTATTGGATAAAAAATTAATGTATTTTCTATAATTTACATTTATCCATGATTTTATATTTTATATCTTTTTAATTTGTTTCATATTCATTATGCCATGTTTCCTGCTACCTTTAGGAATATGTGCAAAATATTTCAAGTAAACTGACTGTTGAAGCTTGGATAAGCATGGAATAATAATAATACAACAGAAAATGTACGTAAACAAAATGTATTGAAACAAGGGAAAGGTACACAATATTTACAGTTAGTTTTGGTATATTCTTGGGAAGACTGTTCCTGCAGAATGGGTTGACTTAATCGCAGTCGGGCAGAGTCTCTGGATTGGATCTCTTGTTACTTCCCTTCGTCTTCCCGGTACCAACCTATATTTATATGGTCGGCACTCCACTATGTAAATTAGGTGGATCGTACCACAACACTGACAAAAACGGAAGGTTGGATATTATGTACTGTATATGGGATATTCTTGACTTCTTTTTATTATATATATTTCTCAAGTGTTTTCGTCGAATTCATACAAGTATAATATTGAAAACAGCGGATAACTTAATTACATTTTATATTTTGGATCAAAAAAAATGAATTACACACACACACAATACATATATATATATATATATACATATATATATATACATACATATTATATATATATATATACATACATATATATATATATATATATATATATATACATATATATATATATATATATATATATATATACATACATATATATATATATATAAAAACACATACGTGTATCAAACAAGTAATTCCTATCTTTTAATGTCTTCTTTGTGTATAAAACGTATTTTCTCTCTTTTTACTCAGTTAAAAAAATCACCTTGTTGAAATTCATTCAATTTTTTTTGACAATCGTCATTTACACGTATAAAATATTGTTGCCACTGTTTTAGACTAACTATAAACATTGCCGCATAAGTTAGGTGACCAGGATCTTGTTCCAGCATGCACTTCGACAACTCTCCCCTTTTCTCCCGATTTTGATCCGTTCATGCTTTTTATTTATTAAAAATCGCCGATCTTTTAATCCATTCAGCACCAAAGAACGTGAATTAAAGTTTCCTACTTTCACTTAGAAAGCTCAAAACCCAATTACCCAATCTCCCCTTTTGAAAATACCACTTTGTCTTCATATTTTCCTCATTTTGTGATTAAAAACTGTTTTTGTCACAATGCTTTTTAGTCGCTGGGAAAATCATATTGCTCTATTGTCGGAGTATATACGTTAGTGAAAAAAAAAAGTAAATAGAAAAGAAAACGAAAGGCAACAACAAACAAACAATACTTGATTCTGAAGGTGTAAAACTTATGCTAATGTAAGTTTCTAAAAATTTTATCAACTCAGATATGTTTCCATTTGCTACGTCAGAAATGAATGATGGCAAGTGAGAAAAATGAAATATGGAAACAGGGTCTCTTTTCCGGAATGAACATTACTATATGTCATTGTAAATTTGTCAGACTATCTATTTTCATAAACAGTACCAAAAAAAGACTTTTTGCTAGAATCTGATGCTCGGAGGAAAGAGGCAGGAAAACAAAAAAAAAAAAAAAAAAACTAGTTTGGAAAGATCAACGTTAAAAAAAGAAATCAGTCTTTTTTCATTTTTTTTTAGAAAAGAGCACATTTAGGAATTAACCGTTGATACAGATCACCTTTTTAAAATGCAAATTCATTTTACTTTTCAAGAATTGGTGCTAAAATCTTTAATCACGAAGAATAACTCCAGTGTACGTAAATAACTTTGAAGCGTTAAGCATAAAAATATCACCGTGCAACAAGCTGTAAATTGAATTTTGTGAGATGGACATGCAAACATTACGTTAAAGTGTGTCTCAAAATAATATCTAAGTTTTGAAAAAGAAAACCTAATG